AGCCGTGGTCGTGGCAGGTCGTCTGCGAGCTGGGTCTCCTTTTCGTGCAACTTTGGCTCATGCGGCCGCTTGACGACACAAGTGTCACTGCCATGCACAGCAGCCTGAAAAGCTTCGGAGACTTGCGCCTGTGCGTCTGAAGACAACAGCGGCCGCACCCAGCGCAGGAACCCGAATCGGAAGTCGCTATCCAGCTCTCTGCGGGACGCACAAAACAGCTGCTCAGGAGTCGACACGCCACGCTGCACAAAACACGATCTGCGACTACGCAGAATTTCGAGGTATCTCTCCACGTGCCGCTTCAACGCCGGCTGAACCGCCAAGCGTTGATCGGCTGCAGGCTCACAGAGCATGGTCTCCCACTCTGCCAGCACATCCTTCTGCTGCTGCGAAAGCTGTGGGAAGCAGCGGCTCATGAAATTCTTGCCGAACTTCATCTCCTTGTCGGACTTGGCAGCGTGCGCGTCGAAGACAGCCTTCAAGGATGGCTTGCGCAGCGCCGCAAACTCATCGAAGCGCCGCTCGAGCAAATCAAGGAACTTGTCCAGCTGCCGCTGAAGCGCCGGCTGAACCGCCAAGAATCGGTCATCTGCAGGCTCACAGACCATGGCTTCCCACTCTGCCAGCACGTCCTGCTGCTGCTGCGACAGCTGTGGGGAGCAACGGCTCATGAGATTCTGGCCGAACTTCATGTGCTTGTCGGACTTGGCAGCGTGCGCGTCGAAGACAGCCTTCAAGGATGGCTTGCGCAGCGCCGCAAACTCATCGAAGCGCCGTTCGAGGAACTCAAGCAGCTTGTCCAGCTGCCGCTGAAGCGCCGGCTGAACCGCCAAGCGTTGATCAGCTGCAGGCTCACAGAGCATGGCCTCCCACTCTGCCAGCACGTCCTGCTGTTGCTGCGAAAGCTGTGGGAAGCAGTGGCTCATGAAATTCTTGCCGAGCTTCATCTCCTTGTCGGGCTTGGCCTTCAAGGACGGCTTGCGGAGCGCTGCAAACTCATCGAAGCGCCGCTCGAGCAACTCAAGCAGCTTATCCAGCTGCTGCTGAAGGGCAGGCTGAACTGCCAAGCCATCAACGCACGCTGATGTGATTGAGTACCACTCGCTCTCCAAAGTTGACAGGCTGAGAAGCCGCTATGAGCGAGATGTAGCAAACATGAAAAATGCAACTTGCGTAGCGCACGCTTACATCTGCACCTTGCTCTGAAGTACCCAGCAGCGCGGCGCCAAGTTTTGCATTTTTTGTCGCGAAGGTGCCCAGCGAGTTTGACAAGTCTCTTGTAAAGCAGTTGCGTTGGGGAAGACATCTTTGAAGCCAAAGTCTCACTCTGTCCAACGACACGTGAAGGCATATTTCCCCACCACAGCACGGCAATGGCCGCTCATGTTTGCGTCCAAAAGCTCACTGCGGTCTTCCAGCACAAGGTCGGTATTTTGGAAACCTTCAACATCTTCCCTTCAAGCCCTTCCAGACTTTCAATCATTTGATTGAGGCGCTTGTCCAAGCATCTGCAATTAGATACTCAAATCTGTCACTTGTTTCCTGCGCAAAGCTTGGGGCAAGCTCAAAGTGCTCAGTGAGCTTGGGGGGTACAGTTGTTGTTTGTGCGGCCGGAACGCAGCATTCCTGCATTGTTTGCGCCACGCGCGGATGCTCCGCGTCCACGCCGGGACCAGTGAGGACACCAAAGACCCTGTTTTATAGTTTCTGGCACGACGTGTTGCTGAGGTCTGCAGCTGCTCCTGGCCCGCCTTTGTTGTTGCTGTCATTGTTCTTCTCGTTTTTGCTGAAAAACACACAGGTCGCCACACACCCGCGACCTAGTCTCAGTAGCAGTAGTAGCAGCAGTAGTGTGGCACTAGTAGTAGAAACGGCAGGAGTGGCAATCATGTAAGAGTAGTAGCTTTTCTCAAGGTTTGAATTGCGTGGCAGGCGCAGCACTTTCAAAAGGTCAGGTGCAGATTTCAAGGCAGGCGCAACACTTTCGCAAGGTCAAGTGTAGATTTCGTGGCAGGCGCAGCACTTTCGCAAGGTCAAGTGCCAAATTCGTGGCAGGCTCAGCACTTTCGTAAGGTCAAGTGCAGATTTCGTGGCATGCGCAGCACTTTCGCAAGGTCAAGCGCCAAATTCGTGGCAGGCGCAGCACTTTCACAAGGTCAAGTACAGATTTCGTGGCAGGCGCAGCACTTTCGCAAGGTCAATCGCCAAATTCGTGGCAGGCGCAGCACTTTCACAAGGTCAAGTACAGATTTCGTGGCAGGCGCAGCACTTTCGCTTGTTTAGGTACAGATCGACAGATAAATAGATAGATAGATAGACTAGATAGCTAAACAGAGAGAAATAGATAGATGCATAGATAGATAGACGGTTCGATAGATAGATAGATAGAGAAAGATAGAGAAAACAGAGAGATAGATTGCTAGAGATAGAAAGAGAGATCGGTAGAAAGATAGATAGATAGATAGATAGACAAAAGAGATAGGTAGCTAGATAGATGGATAGATAGATAGATGAAAGACAGAGAAAAATAGATAGATACATAGATAGATAGATAGAGAGATAGATAGATACATAGATAGACAGATAGGTAGATAGATAGTAGATAGATAAAAGAGATAAATAGATAGATAGATAGATAGATAGATAGATAGAGAGATTGACGGATAGATAGATAGACGAAAGATAGAGAAAATGGAGATAAATCGATAGATAGATAGATAGATAGATAGGTAGATAGATAGATCGATAAACAGATAGGTAGGGAGATAGATAGATAGATAGATACAAAGAGAGATAGATAGATAGATTGTTAGTGAGAGAGATAGACAAATAGATTCATATCTATATAGATATATTTAAATAGATACATTGATAGGTAGGTAGGTAGGTAGATAGATTGGTAGATAGATAGTTGGCTAGATAGAAAGACTGAAAGATAGATAGATCGATGAATAGAAAGATAGTTAGATAAATAAAACCATAACCTCCCAAACAGAAAGCTTTTCCTTTGTGACTGTGCCACCTGGAACAATTCTACTATGTGAGAATGTTGCTGACGTTGTCTGGATACCGCAAACAGTTGTCGCTCATGGATTTACCGCCGCCGTTTCTTTGACTCACCTACAGGCCCAATGGTGTCTTGAGCCTTGGTTACTCACACACACACACACACGCACACGCGCAGGCGCAGACAGTCGTCTCACCTCCTAGCACAAACAAACAGCCACGGAGCATGTTTTTTTTTACACCTGCCCTTGCGATTACAACTGGTCAGCGTTACTTTTTAGCAACAACGAAGTCAAGAGCTGAAACAGTTTGCCCTTCGGGGCTTTCCAATTCCGGCGCTGGCGCCATGGCAAGTGAAGCTCGCTTCGCACAGCTTCTTGTGTACCTGGATGAGCACCGTGCAGAGCTGGAGGCACTTCAGTGCAATGACATGCGGGAGCTTCTGCGAACTGGCGAGGCCAGGCAAGGACGCGTAGCAGTGCCGGAAAGGGCAGCGTGGTATCGCTACTTGCGCAAACAAGAGCACTTGCTTTCGGCAGCCCAGGTAAAACAATTGCGTGCTTGTGAGAATGTGCTTTGTCAGCGAGCAGACGCTGAACGTTTGCGACAAGTGGAGATATTTCACCCTCCAGCACAACTGTTGGCTTTGCTTTGCCTTTGACAGGTTTTGTCAGGCAGGCAGGCAGGCCGCTGGCCGCAGGACAGGCAGCGCAGCCAGCCAGCCACTGCTTGTTTGAAAAGACTGGCTGGGCGGGCGCTAAACAGACCCTTTTCTAGAAAAAGCAGCCAATGAATAAATCTGGTGTGAAGGTTGCAGTGTTGGGTAGGTTTAGCATTAGGGAGAAGGGATTAGGCACACACACACACACTCATATCCTTGATCATACGCATTTACCTATACTTGTATGCCTACACAGCATAACATGACGCAACGAAGCAAAACAACGCTTAACAATATATAGAGTACACATTGCAGTTCAACAGAGCAAAGCATTGCGTTACAGAACATAACATAGCACAACACAACAACCGCATAACACAACAAAGCATCTAATAGCACCATGACACACACAGACACACATGCATCGATTGCAGACATTGTTTTCATGCATTAAACACGTATCAGACACGTACATATATGCACGCATGCGTCCGTTCAGAAGTTACATGCATCCACCATCCTTCCATCCTTCCATCACTCTGTCCATGACTCTGTCCATCCAACCATCCATACATACATACGCACATATATACACACATACTTACTCACATACACACACACACTTACTTACTTACTTACTTACTTACTTACTTACTTACTTACTTACTTACTTACTTACTTACTTACTTGCTCACACACACACACACCGCACATGCACACGCACACGCACACACACACACATCTACACACAGACCTACACACACACACCCACACCCACACCCACACCCCCACACCCCCACACCCACACCCCCACACCCGCACCCGCACCCGCACCCGCGCCCGCACCCGCACCCGCACGCGCACGCGCATGCGCACGTGCACGCGTGCGGGCACGCGCACGCGCACACGCACGCGCACGCACACGCACACGCACACACACACACACGTGCACAAACACACATACTTACACACACACACACGTGCGCACACACAAATACACACACATGCGTACATACATGCATACATACATGCATGCATGCATGCCTGCAGCCGGCCTACCTACCTGCATGTCCATATAGACGGACGGACGGACCGTAGACAGACAGGCAGGCTGGCATGCACACACACATACACATGCACACACAGACATGCGTGCCTGCTTACCTACCTACCTACCTACCTACCTATACATACATACATATTCAGACAGACAGGCAGGCAGAGATGGAGACAGAGACGCAGATAGAGACAGAGACAGAGACACACAGAACAGACATGCATGCATACGTACACATGGCTGCACTTGGGAAGCCATAACCGCGCTTACCGTGAGGAGCCTCGCACGAATTCCAAGCAGCCGCCCACGGTGGCTCTGTTCCGAGAGACTGGTCGGGTTGGACGGGCCTCCATGTTGCAGCGTAGTGGGGTACTGCGAATGGACAGTTGGTAGCTGGTTTATCTCGGTACTATCCCAGTATAGGGTTTAGTCCATGGCAACTGGTGCACCTTGTCCATGCACAGTACTTCACGAGTTTCGCGAGACCAAACATGTCGAAGTTTCAAATCAGTAGGTCAGTAGATGTCTGTTGCTAGTGGACGATCATCATTGTGTATTTTTCCGTGGGGGCTCGGTAGTGTAAATATCGACTGTAACCAGTGCTTTCCAGACAGCAGAGTCATTCCAAGCTGAACTCAGTGCAACAGTGATGTTTTCTGTGATGGCAGGTTGTGTTATTTGCGATGGTTGCGGTTGACGAGTCTTGTTTTGCGACACCTTCACGCCGCAGTTTTCCTGCGGCGGTGGGTGAGCCGCTGTTTGTTTATAACGGGACCAGGGACAATTATGGGAAGGCTACAACATTATGGGAAGACATTATAACAGCAACGAAATGTCGCTGTTTCGCAACAACACTAGCTTCCTGCTTGAAAGGACGCTTGCTTTGCATTGCGCACACGATCATCGGCTTTTACTGCAAAGCACACTCTGCTGAGACTGCCGCAAACCAGAACACCCTTCCAGGCGCCGTCGCAAGAAAAGCAAAGGGTTTAGTTACCGACGTTATTGTCCCGAAGTGCAAGTATCCCTGAAACCACTGGCCTGTGGGTTTTGGCGCCAGCTTTGAGCAGGCAAGTGGAGCAAACAAAATGCAAGCAAGAGCCCAGTCTAATTCCAAACATACTTGCTTGGCAGTTGTTTATTTGCATGAAATTGCGTTTGACGCATTTTTCTTTTTTGGAGAAGTGTTGGGTTGTTGCCCCAAACTACTAGTCAGCCTTGTATGGTTTGCCTTGTATGGTTTGGGCTTCAGCTCCCAGTTGCTTAGACCGGCGCTTAAGCCCTAAAATTGGGCACATGTACCAGAAAACACAGTCCACTTGCTTGCTATTTGAGAGTGATTGGGATGATTGGTCTCCGCACATGGTCCCGGTGGGTTTGTCTTTGGATTCAGCCATATAGCCAGCCGTTTGGTCAACGTGTTCTCAGCTTTGCCAGTAAGCACGATTGATCTTCCTCATTTCGGGGCTTTCTAACAGGAATGTGCACTTCCAGGCCTGCTTCAAGTTCCATGTTTCGTGCATCCGAGCTTGAACCAGGTGTTTTGAGCAGGCCTCTCAGCTTCAACAGGGGTTTGCGAGAAACACTCCTGTCGCCTGTTTTGGTTTTCGTTGCCAAAGGTCCCACGAAGGTTTAGTTGCTACATTGCCTGTTCCACCTTAGGTTGCCCAAAGTAGTCCTCTCTTAACTTTCTTAACCTCCGCTTTAGGTTTTGGGGCTGTCTCAGCTGGGTTCGGCTGAGATCCTGGATGATTTGTGGCATGTGCCGCCCAGCCACGATCTGCTGCGGCTGGAAGATGAAGACCTGGGCACCGTGACGGAGAGTTCGGGCCATTTCTTGTTTTAAAATGGGTGGTTTCCGTTTTTGGTGGGATGAAACCGGGGGACCCGATGAAACTCTTTGGTGTGGTGGGATTTCGTTTGGTTTCCCCTTGCAACCCCGAAATAGGTACATCCGAAACACAGGCCCGTTTTGAGTAGAACAGTTCAACAGGCTCGGGGTTGCTCTTCAAAAGCCAGCCAACCAAAGAACATGGTTTCGGTACCAAGCGACCGTTGGGGAAACCCTTCAGAACCCCTTCAGACAGTAAAATAAATCACCAACTACCAGCCGATTGAAGGCAGCTGGTTGTACATTGGCGAGAGTCCCGCTTTAATAGACAGCTTTGTTGTGGTGCCCTAGTAGGTGCTCTTTGGACATGCTTCAGACCTTTGTAAAGAGGACCGCAAACTACAAGCGTGGCCCGGAAAGGGCTTCGGAATATGACAGTGCCACGCTTTTGATACTCCTAGTTGATAGTAGCTTTGGCACATGTGTTCAAGACATATTGACTGCATTTCGGGCTGACCAAGCCAGGTGTTGCTTGTGGGGACTCCCTATGTGATGCAAACACAATTGTGTGTGTGTGTGACTGCCTGCGTAGTTACCTGTGGCAATACGTTTGTAGCAACCTGCTGCGAATGGTCTCCAATCTATGTGGCGAGTGCGTCTCCCTTTGTTCTTTTGGCTCTCTCACTCTCTCTCTCCCTACTGGTATCTCAGATATTGGCTTGCAGCTGGTGCTTGGCGTTTTGTCCAATCCACGTAACACAGGGCATTCTCAATTTAGATATTCGGACATTCTTGATTAAATCCCATATTCCCTGGTGGTGCTAAGCGTGTTGCGTGTGTTGGACTGACCCGGGGGAAAGGGGGGTCAAGTACCGAGCCCAAAGCACCGAAGCAGCATGCAGCTTGTTTGGAATCGTTTACCACGTTGCTCTGGATCTGCAAGGGAAATTACCATTTGTCCAAGACGAGCAAGGAGTGCGCGGCACACTTGGTTGAATAGTGCATATCCCAGGGCTAGTTACTTATTGCTGGAAGCTGTCCCTTTCTATGCATTCTATGGAAGCTCGAAATGGACAAACAAGACAAGCCCTGTGGGTTTATCATCAGCTGAGGTGACGTCATGTCAGCCCAAGAGCTGATGGCGATAGTTCCCTGGCCGGACAACCTCTGCAGCTACTTCCATTTGGTTAAGAATAGTTTTAATTTTCCACTGTTGGTTTTAACAGGAAACTATCACTACTGGAAAATTTCATTTTTTTCCAGGGGACTTAAGCAGATGGAGGGCTATGTATGTACATGAATGGCAAGATTCTGACATTCTTGGCTCAAGATTGCCATTGTGCACGCCTACCACGGGTGATTTGCGTTGTGCTTGCTGGTAGTGGTGGAAGGTGGGGTCAGCTGAGATCGTGCAGAGGAAGAGCAGGGAACAGACTTGTAGACAACATAGTTGTTTGCTTCATTTAGCAACATACGTTTGCGATGCTGTTCAAGCAAAGTGCATGCTTTTCATTTGCGTACTTGTTTCGTCGTCTTTTGATGGCGCATTCAATTTGTGCGCTAGTGCAGATATGTGCCCGCAGCCAAGCAGTGAACTAGGTGCGCACAGCCACTCTGCGGCCCTCCCCCTCGCAGATCAGACCTACGCGCCGCTTTGGTCAAGGGGTGGCTGCCGCTCTTGGTTGAAACCTTACTCTTGAGGTGTTTTTTGTGGGTGGGTTCTCTTTGGAGTTGTCAAAGGAAGCCAAAAGGAAACTGACTACCCATGGACCAAACTCAGTTGCGCCTTCGTGGAAGTGTTGAAGGACACTCGCTTTACCCATCCAAGTGTGCTGAGCCAGGAGGTGGCCATGCATGTTCTGGCCTTTCTGGGGGGAGGGCTAGCACTGGGGTCCAGCAGTTGTTGATTTGGCGCATGGAGCGACAAGCTCTCGTGTCGTGTTGAAGACTCCTATTCGGAGTTCACAACTTTCGAGCGGATGGTGGCGAATTCAGAGCCAGGAGTTGAAGTCACCTTTGATTTTGATTCTGATTTTTGGAGGGCCATCTGACACCCACAGTCCGAGAAGCCAGCTTTAGACTTTAGACAAAGATGCACCATAGTCCGCAAACACCCTCAATGGAATGGCTGCAGAGTAAACTTGGCGCGCACTAATTGATGGTAACTCAGACTGTTTTGCTGATGGCAGCCATCATCCCTGCTTGATAAATCAAAACACCCTAAACCTGTGCAAGCACCGTGTCACTTACTTGCCAATAGCTTTTCTCATTTTGAAGGAACCTTGTTGAGAGGCAGGACCTGTGCCCCCCCCCCCCCCCCGCAAAGGCATGTTGCAATGTTTGTGCCTTGTGGGGTTGCTTCCTTAGGCCGGCAGCGCAGATGCAGCTTCTTCGGGCTCTGCCTGGAGGACCGGGACGGCTTCGGCGAGCGGAGTTGATATGGCTCTGCCTCAAAGGGACCCCAGGAGACCAAGACGACAGATGGTTTGGAGGGTTTTTGTTGCTTTCTCTGACCGGTTCCCCACTTCCGAACCAAAGTCCAAAGATCTGTCATTGCCAGAACGATCAAACTTGGCCTGCCTTAAGCACTTGAGCGAACCGAGTAGGAAATCCACGTGTGGGAACACAGTTTGTTTGCTATGCTTGGGCTATTGGGGATGAATTCAGAAGAAAAAAGGCTCGCCTGGGATTTGTTTGCTGTGCAATTCGCCCGGAGTTGCTTTGGCCAACTCCCGAATCTCGAAGCAGCGTATCTGGGTGTGGCTCCAAGTTTAACAGTCAGCGGACGGCAGGTTTTTGTTAACTTGTCCATTTACCAGGGTTCCATTTGGGCCGGTCCCTATTTAGCCACACACACACACACATCTTGCCATCCATTCGAACTCTGCAGGCAGAGAAAGCGGAGCGCTGGAATGCAGCTCTTTGGAACCTTGGCAGACACAATCCACAAAACGCACCAGAGGATGAAACATGATGACACCCGAACACTCTGGAATAAAATAACAAATAAATCAATAGATAAATAACGCTGCGAAGCGGACTTTGCCCATCCGGAGCCGTATTTGAAACCGTATTTGTGAAGCAGTTGGACCGTTGGTTGGACATCTGGAAGCTCCGTGCGCACGGCGCGTTGCTCCCCTTTGGGTGATTGACGGCCTCCCAAAAGCGAGGCTTGACGTGGTTCATTTCAGACCCTATGGAGGTCTTGGGCCCTTCAAGGTCTCATCTCAGCAGTTGCTTCGCAGCTGAGGAGCGGCCTTTTGTTGCCAAGAAGCATTCAGCGAGTGCGCAGATGGCACTGGAACTGTTCGAGATTGAATTGCGACAGCTTGTGGGTCTGTTCTGTTTTGTCTTTGTGTGCTGTGTGTGCGTGTGCGAGATCAAAATACGAGAAGATGAGGCATCACAGAATCAATGGAACAGATACTCCACGCGGGTGGGCTGCAATTTTTGCAAGGCTATTTCTGTCCGCTTTAGTCCTCTTGACCGTCGCCTTTGTTGTGGTCATTGTCGTGGTCGGAAACCAGGCTCGGGGTGCCAGCTGTGGATCATTGGGCAAGAGAGGAGAGGTGAGAGACAAAGAAGTCAGGAACGAAAGAAACATGACAGAGATAAACAAAGCAAACAAAGAAAAAACAAAGACACAACAGATAGAGCGAGAGAGGAAGGGAGAGGGAGGGAGTGAGAGAGAGAGAGAGAGCACGTGATCCATGACCAACCAATTTATGACCACTTCTCTTTCTTATGGACGGGTAGGGCTTGTCACCTCGTAGACAAGCTGTATTAAGAGCTTGAGGCATGTACTGCACTCTTCTCTGATCTCTTTTTGAAGTCGAGCATCCGCGCATGTTGTTATGCCTGAAATCCTGGGTTTGCAGGTCGGTGATGAGCCACCCCCCACTCCCGCACCCCCCACCCCCCAGCCCCAACCCCGCATCCCTGACCCCGCACCCCCTACCCCCCACCCCGCTCCCCCAACTTCTGTGCAGGTCGGTGATGAGCTGACAAAAGAAGCTCGAGAAGACTGGGCAGGGGCCCTGGGATGGACAGCGTGTGAGAGGACCTAACAGTTTGGTGCCGCCAAGACACATCTCCGCCAAAACCAATTGAAGCAAACACAACCTTGCAGGTTTTTGGTGGCTTTTGGCGAAGTATTACCCAAATATGTAATGTCCTACGACCTACCTTGCTGATTGGAGCTGGTCCTACCTTAACAACTATTTTTGAACATACACATAGCGTAACATTTCTTTTGAGTTCTAGCAATTTGATGGTTTGCCGGAGCTTCAAGAGAAGGAATATTATATTGTGTGTTGTAGTTAAACGCCACATTGTTGGAGCAGAAGCAGGTTGACGAATCAATGATTGATCCGCTGAACAAAATTGCCCATGTTGGTGCATTGTTTGCCGTAGCCCGAACCGCAATCCCTACTAAGTCGCTTGCTGGACCTGTGTCCACAGCCGACACGAGAGCAAAAGAGCTGATCAAGTGGACAGAGCAAACTTGATTCCGGACAGACCTCTGGCCGGTCAAAAATATGTACCCAACCTGGAATCCTGGAAAATGGAATGGACCAAGACCTGCTGGAGTCCCCTGGTTTAATCTTGACCCATACCCATGTCAGCCAGGTAGGAACTCCGGACAACTTGGTGGATGCGATGCGGAGCCAGTGCGTGGAGTTGCAGAGACAGGCTGGTGCCCAGTTCCTACGCCTCTTGCGTCGGAGGGTGTCATGTTGTTCTTGCATCCAAAAGCAGGATGAATCCCAGACAATCATTAAGCCCAATGGGGCACTCACATTGTTTTGGGGAAATTGTCGCGGTGGTGTAGGCACCGTTCTCTTGAGGAGTTTGTGCAAAAGGGCGCGATCAGACAAGTGCAGCTCCTCTGCGGGAGCCAAGAATATCAAAAAATCCCAACTGCGAGATGCAGCTTTGCACTCGTTTGCACTTGAACAGCTTCTGGCCATGTAGTGGTTGATTTCGGCTGTGGTTGAACGGCTGTGGCTTGAACGGCTGTGGTTGATTTCGGTTGGCCATGTATTCAGTCAGCCTGAGCCACAGCCAGAATGACAACTGTAGAGAACTGCAGCGTTGAACCATGTCTCTGCCTTCCGTCGCTGCGGTTCTGCGGGTGTGTTTTTCCGTTTTCCTTGGTTGGTGGAAACCGGAGGTCCCCCCACGTTCCTGGTCTGCCATCAAGAGGTTGTTCGCGTATGTTTGCCAACGCTGCTTGGGCAACCATTCTTACATGGTGAAGCAGCCTGCAGCAAAGGTGCAGGCGATGCAGACGATTAGTTTCGGAGGTCTCCCCGCGTGCCAGGCCCTGCCCTTCATGGACCTCATCGAGGGCTACAACCGCCAGCGGGGCTTCCGCAAGGTGAGCTTCGTCACGCGGCGCGAGACCCAGGCGCGGGCGACAAAAAAAAAGAGCCCGGCCCCCGTTTTTGGACAGGGAAGCAGAAAGCAACGGGACGACGACCTCCTGCTTTTGTTGGTTTCCTGAGTGCCAACCCACTCTGAAAGCGTTGCTTGGGGGAGGGGGGTATGAACAACAACAATCGCTTTGGTCATGCATTTAGATGTCAAGAGGTATGTACAAGCACACTACTTGCAGCCCCCGAACTTCCACCCTCTGAGTGCGATTGTTCGAATCTGGTGGGGAAGTGCACTAACCTTGGGCCTTGGGCCCGAACATTTCCGTCTTTTGTTTTAAGCGGTTGCGCATGGTGTGTATTGCGTCCAGGTGGAGTTTTGCATGCAAGTGTCTTTTTTAGCTGGTAAAGGACGAACCGCCATAACATGCTGAATGGGTCTTGCGTTGCATTGCGTTCAGGCGGGGTTTTGAATGCAACAGCCTTTCTTTTGCTCCTAAGGACTGCAATCAGAATTGATGAACATTGTTTGCTCTGAAGCTCTGCAGGTCTGAGTCTCAATGTTGTCTTGCAATGGCACATGTTCGGTTTCATGCAAGTGTAAGTGCGCATGTCTGAGTTGCAGCATAGTTTTGGTTTGAAAACTGTTTGTGCATGTTGCGTTCTATACGGGTTTGAGCGTGCAGTGGTTGCCCATATAGCGTTCCATGGCGTTTGAGTGCACAGGTCGGAGTTGTATGTTTGATTTCATTGAACATTCCTTGCGCATGTCGTGTTCCATGCGGGTTTGAGTGCGCCAGTTCGGAGGCTGAGAAGCAGATTTTCCTTTAGACATGGTCAAGGGCTTGCCCCGGGATGTTTCTGATGTCGTTTTGACGTCGTTTGGACGTCGTTTTGTAATGCTCTTGTTACCACCCCTTCACGCGCCGCTTTCCATGATGGACTTCGTGTGCTCATGGCCACAACAAAGGTCACCGTTGTTCAAGTCCGTAGGGATGGTTTTTCGCCGTTTTCAGTCACGCGGATGGTTTTGTTCGAGGCGGTAGGTGATGCCAGTCGCGGAGCCAGTTTTTAGGAGTTCAGGGGCGCCGGCGGAGGGGGATGGTCGGTGTTTTGCCCCTTGTTTGGGGATATTGGCATGGCGCTTGTTTTAGGGACTTCCATGATGGAATGCTCAGTTTTGTTGTTGCGCACACAATTGCATTGGGGCCCCTATCGAATGCAGCAGAGCCAGCAAACGGCTGTCCTCGCTGCAGGGAGCTGCAACAGTCACGTCAAGTTGCAAGACTGTTGCGTCTAGGTGGATGGCAGCAAACACCAACAACATCTAGCTTTGGTCCTATTGGAACGCCCAACAAAGGCTCTGGAACCAGGGGTTGGCTGTGGCAAGGTTGCTCGGACACCGCGTTTTTGCGATGAATATGAGCATACCGTAAGCTCGCTGACGCGAGGGCACCAGTTTTTACGGGCATGTGAAAAAGCCTTTTTGACGTTCCGCGCGTGGTGACTGTGGGCCGTGCCAGCGTGAGCGGCGGCAAGTGACAAGCGTCTCATCCAGCGCGTGGGCCATCTCGCGTCGACGCTAGACACGGTGGCTGCCTAACGAGGATCCCGCGCGTCCTTCAGCTTTTCAAGAGCGCGACGCGCGAAGCAGCTTGACTAGGTCGCGACAGGGAAACCTGCAAAGAGAAGCTTCGCTTAAAGTGCAAAAACAGACCTCACTCAGATTTGTTTGCGCGGCGGGTTGGGAGCATTAGGCGCGCGCGGATTTGCAGAAAACTTGGAGAGAGCTGAAGCCGGCCCTGCTTAAGGTAGGGGAGCGCGGGGCTGCCACCAGTTGCTCCGCGGGCGAGCTGTTGCAATAGACAGCCTTGAGAGTAAAAAACGGCAAGGGCAAACAATGAAAACAAGGTTTCGGTCAGGCGCAGACTTTTTTTCTCAGCAGTGTTTCGTGAATTTGGAATGGCCCTATGACCTTGCCAGGCCCAGGCCTGGTGCTTGCCAAGCCAAGGCCCAGCGAGAGTGGCAACTCGGCTAACGAAAGCTTCGGTAACTGCCGTGCTTGCGATCGCTGCAGCGTGCATTCCATCCCACCAGCTTGCGCGTTTTTCTTGGGTTTCAATTATGGTTCAAGCACGCCGGTGGCAGGTGCAAAGTGCTCGGATTGTAGTTTCATGTGCGGGTTACTGTTGATATCGCGCCACTTGGGCCTGTCACGAAGCCACAGGACCACTGGACAGATGTTTCAGTGGGACGCAGACCACGCACACACTACTGAATGAAAACATCGGGGTGCCCGATTGCCACTGCACGCAGACGGCCTTCCATCATGCTGATCTTAGGTCATCGTGCATGGACGGAAGCTGAATGGGCTGAGCAGTTCCGCGTCTCGGTGAGCAATCAGAATATGCCTCAGCAATTTGTGTTTGCCACGTTCATTGGCCACATCTTTGTTCATAATGTTCTTCTCCGGGTGGCCTGAAGGGCAAGCAAAGCGCGTGCAGCGTGCAAGGACTCGCATGTATTTTTGGCATGCTGTCAGTTGTGTGCGCACGCACATATTTGATGTTTGGTGAGAATGGGTTCCACACCTGCATCACCCACTTCGCTTTACTTGCCTCAAGTGACTCAAGTGGTTGTTCCTTAGCTTCATGAAGTCCCTTGATGGTGGTTTGCAATCTCATGTAGCGGCTTGGGCAATTCAAGCATGTGTTGCATTGCGTAAAGGGGGTAGCTCCTTACCACTGGCCATCACAGTGGTTTGGATTCACTCCGGGAACTGCATTTGCAAGGGTCCCACTTTGTCGGCTTCCCCCTCAGCCTGAAAAACGTGGTGCAATCGGGATCCTTTCGTAGCGCACGGAGTCAACAAGAAAACCCTGGCAGGCACGTCACGAATAGGACGGGAAGCTGAGCTGTGTTTTGTTTCTGGCGTCAGTAAGTGCCTGTTTCCAGGCGCAAGCTGCGGGCTATTTTCTGCGACTGATGAATGTCAGCGCCCTCATAGCTGAGGCCTTAGGTTGCGCCACTCTTTTTCGTGCGCATTCTGCCAGCTCAAAACAAGTTGCCTGGTCAGAGTTTCGTAGCCACTGAAAGCCGCGCCTTGAGTTAAGTGCAGTAGTGCTGCCCCGTTGATGGCTGCCTGTTGCCCAGCGAACTCTACATAAAACTCCACATCTTAGGTGTCCGACCTGACTGCGGCGCCGCTGAGCTGCAACTGGGAAATGTCGGGAGCACACCGAGAGCCACGCTTCAATGAGGTTTCTGCAAATCAGCTGGTAGGGCAACTTTCTTTCACGCTTATGTGGTCTTCGAAAGGACAGTGGAAAAGTCAACATATTATTTGTTCATGGATAATGGCAAAGCAGCCTTGGAGTTTGTTTGTTGTTTGAGGAGGAGGGATGCCAGTGGAACAAGTATCCGTGCGGGTTCTTGTATTTTTTTGGGGGGGTGCCATGCTCGCCCATGTTTATGCACTTCATGCGAAGCTTGGCGGGTTTTAGATCCTGCGAAGGCGATAGCTGCCCACCCGCAAAAATGGCCGATTTCTGCTTGGGTTCCTTTGAAACGTGCTCCAACTTCTGACTGAAGGGCCCCGCACTTCTTGCTTGGTTTGGGCAATTGAACATGTCCTGCAGGCGAGATAACCTGAGCGACTGGTTGGCGGACGATCTCACGGTGCTGGGTGCATGGGACTACGCGGTCTCTGATCCAGATGGTTTTCTGGGAGGTGCGGCGCATGGATGGAGCTGAACTCCTCAGATGTCAAAAGTGTACTGATGGCGAGCTTGGGAAAAATTGCGCTAATGAGCTGTCCTGGGGCCAGCTTTACTCCGGACCTGACTTGGAGAGCGGTCGGGCGGTTCAAGTTAGGAGGTTGGGTTGGGGCGGAGGGTGGGGCCAGGCCTCGGAAAGCGGCGCGTTTCAGGACCTTTGAATAAACATGAACACTGGTGCTGTGAGAGGCCATTGGAGCTTGATGGGCCTGGATGCTTGTCAATCCCAGCTTCCTCTGTAATTGAATATCTCAGATATCTCCTCTGTACATCCCGGGGCCTGCGACTCGTTTGTTGACATAGCGGAATCGTATGTGACCAACACAGGGAACGGACAGCATTCCGGACTCCAGAAACTTGAGGTGCTCCAGAGAGAGAGCCCATAGGTACCGAGCCCCTACCATGGATAAATATCGTCCGTTTGTTGGGAGTGTGTTTTGTTGATGCTTTCTGCCCTTTTGGAGGGGAGCCAGAAGGAAAGCCAGCGGTCCTCCCATTTTGACGTTTCGCCGCGAGCTGGATGCCCAGCCGCAGGTCCAGTGGATCCACAGCAGGTTGCAGTGATGGGCTGGGACCTTGGAGTGAAGTGGGGGAGCAAAAAGAAATGGTCAAGTCTGTGGGCCGAGTAGCCCGTGTACATCGTTTCATATTGTGACAAGTGCCTTTTGGTTGTCAAGGACCCATGGGATGAATGCTGCTGTGATCGTGGATTGGTTGTTTTCTTCGGCTCGGGGATTTACAGGCAAGACAAGAGCCGATCCGTTGCGCAAGATCGTGGAATTTGAGAAATGTCGTTCAGAGAACGGGCATGATGTTGGTAAAATGAACTGATGCCCTTTTCGACATACTGCCAGTGCTGGCAATGGATGGCTTCTGTTGCTAGGTTGAAAAGCCCGAGTGAATGCCCCGGGGTTTGGACAATGAGTGAGGACCGATGTTTGATCACGATTCGGCTGGTCCTCGTTGGCCAACCCCAAGCAAGATCCAAAAAGGAATCTATGGGATGCCCGGTTTCTGCATGTTATCTTGTGTCATGTTTCTTGTGAAAGCACCTCCCCCCCCCACCTGAAACCTCACCCAACCCCTCCCCCCATGGTTGTGAAAACGGTTTTTTGGGGGGCCACTTTCCATGATGCCGAGGGACTCCCCTTCAAAGTGACAGATCTTAGGGAAGGGATGGTCTTGGGAATCAAAGCAAGGGTCATTCCAGCCCCCCCCCCCTCATTCCCCCGCCCGGCTGGTGGACATGTAGACTCCATGTCGCAACCTCGGCCAAGGGCTATGGCTATGGTCTTACATCCCCGCCCCTCTGCGACCGTTGCGACCTAGTAGTGCCCTTTTACCCCTTTTTTGCGGGGAGGGTTCCCCTACTAAAACAGACAAAAAGGAAACAACGGGTACCAACTTATTCTCTCAAATCTGGAGGACCTAGTTGGTAGTAGGGGGCTAAAATAGGTTCCAAAATGGGTGGTGAATTCACCCACCCAACACGGGATCCCGTTGAGCGGTTTTGACCACAGCCAGGGTCTCGCACGCCGCAGGCTTCGACTTCGGGGGCTTCAGCGCGCAGCGCGCTTTCGGTTTGGAGCCCCGGATCCCGGCGCTGCTGCTGGATGGCGTCGTCCACGACTTCCAGGCGAGGGCCCCCTCTTGGTGGCAGGTGGCGGTTTTTGGGTTTTTTGGGCCTGTGCTTTTCCATTGCTCACAGGGATTTTTTGTTTTGCATTAGAGTTTACTGTTTCACGCAGCTAGCGGGCACTGCCCTCGGACAGCAGCAGAGCGAGAGAGAGGCTGGGGGGGGTGGTTGGTGGCTGATGGCTGGTGGGTGCTAGTTGGTAGTTGGTAGTTGTTTTTCTTTTGGGAGGGGGGATTTTAGAGCTTCAGAGGTACCTGTTTGCCTCTAAACATCATGGACAAAAAGGGTTCCTCGCCCCTTCCAGGGCCATTTGGGTAACTTTGCAGCTGGGGGAAGCGGCACGCTGAGGCGCTACTGGCAGCAGAGGTTCGTGCCATCGGCTGGGACTTTTTGCAAGGACTGCTTCAGATGCAGGCGCGGGCCCGGGCAAGCTGGATGTCCTTCATTCGATGCCAGATGGTGGTTGCTGTGCTGTAGTGGTGTGTCCCAGTGTGGGTTGCGGCTTAGGATTAGGAGTTCCCACAGTCTGAACAACCCAGACTGACATGGCTGTGGCCGGTCGCCTCGTTTCGGCAAAGCCCACTCCTGGAATCAGTCGGATGTTTGCGGAAATAACATTGCTCAGCGCGAATTGTTTTTTTGTGTCACGATCTTCGGAGCAGGACTCGAATGTCTGGAGAAGTCATGCGGTAAAAATGTCACGATTTGAAGTGGTGTCCTGGCTCTTTCTGGCGCTCATGGTGGAAATGTCCCTTGAAGGGCACGAAAAAAAGGGGGATGGTTCTTTAAGCTGTCCCACGGTTTTCAACCACTTTGCGAGTGCGTCCCGGAGGTGACCAGCCGTTGCGAGCTGAACTTGCAGCGCGCCATCAGCCAGGCATGAGCCGAAGTGCCGTTGGAACCTCTGGGATGGTGGCATGCGTCTGGGGTTCGTTTGGGAGGTCAACATTTAGACGGCGACGGGTCGAAATGGTTTGGGACCCCCCACCCTTTTGGCTCACCTTTGGAAAGCGCAGGCGGGATTTTCGCTTAGAGCACCTTCGCAGTTCTTTCATGGGCTTCAAGGGGCAAGGAATAGGTGTCTTGTTTGGGCGCTTTTTTTGTCCGGAGAGCTTCCAGTGGGAAAGTCGAAATGGTAAAGCCAAAATGTTTCCAGACCTGGTCCTGTGGCCTGTGGATGGAGATCCTGCACTAGGTGGCTGGTTTCTCAACCAGTATGCTATAGGATTTCATCCGACCCAGGCGAGAATATTTATTTTATCCACCCATGGTTTTGTGTTTGGAATATTTTTCAGGTTGAAGCAACCAGGATAAGACACATGCTAGTAAAACAGCTTGCCAAGGAGTCTAGGATTGGATTTCGCTGCACCTGCATACTGACTGACTTCCTGAGCTCCTCGACTTGAAACCGAGTTCGTTGCCAACACCGTTGGCTTTTTTGGGGCCTCTTTAGTTGGGAAGTGAGTTGATTCAGATCCACTCTTCATGGTCTTCATGTGACGATGCGCCGGATGCACTCCGCTTGAGTGCCGATAGGTCGGTGACCTGGCAACGGGCTGGGCCGCCCGTGGTGGCAACACCTCCTATATTGGCATGATCCGCTCCAACGAGGATGCATCCCCCAAACAAATTGGTGATTTCGACTCAAAGGGGGGTGGAGTGGTGGGGGAGGAGAAGGGAAGTGTCTAGAGTTTCTCAAAATTGTGGACCCTTTGGATGGTATTTGAAGTGAAACCAAAGGACTCCAACCGTTTTAGGTGACCCCTTTTTGTGAAGCAGCTTGCGGCTCTTGGTCATTCGGCGCGCCTCTTTTTGCTGGCAATTGGCACCATTGTCCGGATGAGCCCTGACAATGTGCAGTGCATGTTTGAAAGTCAACATTTCCATACAGAGGCCTTATGGCTGCAGTTTTTTGCACTTATAATAGCCCTAGTGTTTAAATCGGGTTGCGGAGTGCGTGCGGCAAAAAGGGGTGAAATCACGACTTCGAGTTGAGTTCAATGTAGTACTTGCAACGTTTGCCCTGAATCTGCGACCGAGAAAGCTTGACGCTTTGATCAAATCCTCGAATCCACGGGAAAACCTCAAGCTTTGTGGGCGTTGGGGTGGAAGGGGCAGTGCTCAAGGCGTGGGCCGCATGCGCTCAAAAGTTGCCGCCTGCGAGGACCGAGTTATTCATTCGGGTGCCGCTCGGCGAACGTGGCGCTTCCAAAGCGGCCGATCCGATGCTTGCGCTTTTCGGTTGGGAGTGGTTCCTCGTGACACCGTGGCTCCTAACAATAAGGATATTGCAGCCCCGTGCGCTGTGACGGGCGGTAAAGCATGCAGGTTGGCGCCGTACACACTCAGAGTGGAACCGGCCTTTGCCCAGTGCAGCTGCAGTTGCAGCACGCTTGTTTGCAAAGCTGGGTTCCAATTGGTTGGAATTGGAGCCTCCATTTTTTGAAATTTGGAAGGAACCCCAGGAAGGTTCAGGAAGGGGTTTCACAAAGCCTCTAGATGGTTTTCTGTTTTTTACCGCCCGTGGGCCCAGTCTTTCCTTCCAATTCTGGCAGAGGCTGGTTATGTTCACAACATCTCGGCACGGTGCATTCTTGTTCAAAGTTGTTCGAGACTCCTCGGGAGTCTTCGGCCCCGTGACTGCGCGGCTCGAGTTCTCGCCCAAACGCAGGGTCGGCCTCTAATTTGTTTCGATGTGCTTGTCGGATTATGTGGGTAACGAAGGTTACCCGCAGTTTTGATGGTTTCAGGCTTTTCAGTATGTAGGTCTGAGGGTTTTGCGTGTAAAGTCAAGGGAGGGGTGGGGTTCGCCTGTCGCCTTGAGCTGTTGAGGCCGAGCAGTCGGAGGCGCTGCTGAGAAGTCTGCAGAGCAGCCTGGGATCTGATAAGCTCTTGCTGCCGCTTGGCTTAAAGCAGATCTGGACTGCGTGGTTAGTAAGGGGCCGGAAATAGTTGCGGATATCCGCCTTTCTAAGTCTTGAAGCATGTTTCTGGGTTCACCATTTTTGTACCAGGTTTTGATTGTGATCCCACTTCGGCTTTCTTTGACTTTCTTTAGCTTCCTTGAGTTTCCTCGTGCTGCTTTGAGGATGCCAGTAGCTCCCTCCCACCCAAACCAACCCCCATCTACCCGGGTGTCGATTGTGGCTCAACTGGACCTTGCAAAGTCTGCGGCGCCTGCGTGTTTCAAGAGAATCCAATCCATTGTGTTTGATTGGTCGTCCATCTAAGCTGGGCTTGCTACAAAGCGGAACTGAGTGCTGTAGTTCGGGCCTGGTGTTACGGATAGAGCTTCGGCGGGGAGCCTTTGAGCTGGCCTTGGGTGAGATTCCTCTGGAGATGTGGCCAGCCTGCCTTTTACTTGCAAGCTTTACCTGTTCTTTTTGCAGCCAGCCGGCAGTCCAACACCTCCAGGTGTGGGCGACTCTTTGGTGCCTCAAGGGCTGGTTAGAGGAAACTGCAAGGTTGCTAGACAGGAGAACCAACCCTTGCAGTGCTATTATCTCATTTGTTCCAAGGCTTTCCTACCAAATTGGCTGGCCGAGTGGAGAACAACCCAGTGGGTGATGTCAGGCGCCTGCCCTTTTGGGTCGGCTTGCTTGAACACAGCCGTGTTCCATCAAGTTTCAAGCATCTACCAGTGCCATCTATGTTTGCAACAGGTTTCCTGGGCTTTTCTTCGGTTTGGGGGTGCCCGCTTTGATTGGCCCCAGAGGAATTCGTTTTCGAACAGCATGTGGCGCGGATTGATCCCCTCAGCTGTGTGGAAGACGGTACCCGCTTTCGGGTTTGCGTAGGGAGGACTTCGGTACCATGTCATCATTCTCGCCTGAGAATGAAGGTCCCCCCATAAGTTGTGATTCTCCAAAGTCCCCATGTGCGTCAACTCGAAGCCAAGAAACCCGAAGGACCCCCACCCAGCCCCACCCAGAGCGCTACGTGAGGAACTGGGCCACAGCGTTCTCGGGGCCCAGCAGCCGCGTGTGCTGGGAGCATCGAGCCCTCCACTTGTCGAAGACCCGGGAGTATCAGCAGCGCCTCGGCTCAGGTAGCCTTGGGGTTCTTTTGAAGGGAGAAAAAACGTGCAAAACTACAAGACTTATCGTCTGGTAGACTGTGATTGTAAGGTTCGGTCAGAATTTGCGGGTTTGTCTATGGTTCATTTGGAGGGGTTTTCGTGGAAACTCACACTTCCCACAAAAACCAGGGGACTCACTAAGAGAATCCCATAGCAAAACAAGTGCGCTTGACTGTGACTCATAGGGCGGGGTGGTCTCGAAATGGTGGACCCGATTTTTTGTTGGTCAAAGAGAAACCAAAAGGACAATATGTGCCAGGGTCAAACCACCACAGTAAAGTATGTGAAGTTGGTAGGGTTAGTCAGCAACCTCTCAGGGGTTTTAGACAAATGTCAAGTTTCCTTTGAGCCGTGGCCATGCCCCTCGCATTTCTCAAAATTGGCTCAACATGGGTGCCTTGAGAAGCCAAAACGAAAACTGTTTTTCAAACACTCAACATGAGCAACTCACAGAATTGGTCCACTGTTGATCTGGCACCAAAGCTAGGGAACTGTCCAAGTGTCCCATGTCATGGGCACATGGGCACATGTATGTGTGTATATATATATATATATATATACACGACATATATATATATATATATTTATGTTTAACTGTTCTCTTTTTGGGGTCGCTTTAAAGGGAAGCAGGGATCCGAACTGTCCCAAGATATCCACATTTGTGCAAACTTAGCTTCTGAGATGGTGAATGCAGGGCTAAAGGGTTTACAGCTTATCACTATAAGAATGAGCAGATATCGTCTTCAAGTGCCCCCCAATCTCTTCCTATGTTTTTGTTGTTACCTCACTTCCCCAGGTAGTGGAAGCTTTTCGGGAGCATAACCCATTCCAATGCTTTTGGAGTCCTCGATTCCCAGTCGGTGGACGAACACAACTGTACCGCGAAGCGAGTTACCCTAGGTGTCCGCTTTTAAAGTTGTTTTGGTAGAAAATAGACCACCCTGGTTCCCCTGGTTGCTTGCTAGTCTACCAGCGTTTTATTTTCCCAGAAAGGGCCAAAAAAGAACATTCTGGTTGCTAAATGATATCTAGCTACATGATATCATATAGCTAGTATCCAAGGACGTCATCATTCTACTTGGTGGCTCCCACCGCCATCCCCTTAGCTTGTCCATTGAAGCCACTACAAGTTAAACTTTTGGGGCATCATAAAACGGGCAGCCCAGTCTATGCCATGGATTTTCGCTTGGTTCGGCCGACGCGGACCGACGCGGAAGGCAGCTCTGCGGCTTCTTCTCCACGGCCCTGGGCCTCTCGGTGGACTGCGTGGCCGCCGGGGCGCCGCTGGCGCTGCTGCGCCCCGGAGGTGATTTGTGGTGCGCCCCTTTTCGGGTCGGTTTGCTTAAGAATATGTGTTTTATGTTCCCTTGTTGGTTTTGAAAGGATTTTGTCACTACTGGAAAGATTTTCTCATTTTTTCCATGGGTCTTTACCAAATGGAAGTTTTCAGTTTTCAGGTCGGTTTGGTTGACAATAGATGAGTTTGCCCCAAAGCAGAAAAGCCCCCCCCAAAATGCGAGTTCCTCAATGAGTCAAACATGCACCAAGTACAAAAGGTGGTTTTAATTTTCTTTTGGTTTCCTTTCAATACAACCACGCAAGGGTACCGTCAAAAAAGACACCCAACCGGGTTCCACTGGTTTCAGTTTGGTTCTCATCTTTGTCTAGTGCCATTTGTTTTGTCAGAGGACGCCTGGGTCCCTTGTGGATTCCCTATTTCCGGATGGCATACAATGCAGCCGATTCCTAGTCGAACCTTCACAGGTGTTGCTGGAAATAGAGACCCCCCCACTATTCAGTATTTATGGAAAGGCAGCCAACTCACCCTAATCGGGGATTCCTATTTGGTAGAGCCGCAGCCAAAAGTCAGGTTTTGAGTGCTGCGCACATGCAATTCTGCTTGGTTGTTGTTTGAAGGGGAGCCGCCAAAGCCCAATGGCTCCACAAAACCACTTCAGTTGGCATCCGGTTATGTGCGCATTTGCACTCATGTTGCATGCTGGGACCAAAATTCAGCGGTTTGCACTAGCGACTCCATTTTATGCGCTGCCATGGCATGGGGTGTCTCTCAAATGGGGGCGCCTCTGAAACGGGTGGTTTCTTCTTGGCTTACCCTTCTGGGTACCAGCTCCAAAAAACGCGACACCCCCGCAGACGGTCTGAGGTGACTGGCCCTCGCTGGCCGCAAGCGAAGATCTTCGTGGCAGTTTTAGGCCCCGCGACCCGCCGTGCGGCGGATTTTTGGGATGCCGCGGAGGCAAATTCGCGACACTGGGTAGGGTTTTGTGTGGAGGCATTAATATATATATACACACATTTATATTTACACATGCATTATATATATATATATGTATTGTATGTGTACATTTGCTTGTCAATGGAGGCATTGCCAGTTGCGCTGCGAACTGCCTCAGTGTACCTGCGCAGCTTTCTTGTGTCGTCCTCAAGGGACGGCATCCACTCGAATTCGGAAATTGGTTGCGGTTGCCAGTTTTCAGAGCAGCTCCCGTTAGGTCCAGCCGGGCTTGGGGATCTCTGACAGGGATTCCCACCACCCGCATATTTGCTTCATGCGCTCCATGGCGCCGTGTTTTGAAGATGTTGGTCAATGGTGTGGCTGTGGGAATCTCGGATGCTCCGCAACTCCTATGGTGTTCCATCAGGAGCCTCCTGAATGGGCTCCAATTTCAATGGGGCGCACTGTTTTGCACTGCATCCGACTGGCTTGGGATGAGGTCCGTTTGTATGATGTCACATGGCCTCAAAGCGGATGGTTTCCCTTTGGCTTCTTGAACCCAAAAGTGTCTCCAACACATCGTAGACCCATCGAAGCCATCGGATCTCGAGGCCGTCTCTGCAATAGGCAGGGGCGATCCCTGTTGGAGAAAAGCTGATTGCTGGCAACCAGCGTTGTCCGAAAAGCAGGAACTGGGGAAAGCAGCGGGTAAGGGAGCCACGGAGACTTGGGCTTACAAGTGATAAGAGTAAGCTTCCCTCATGCTTGGAGGCTGGCCTATCTCAAGCATACGTGGCTGGATCCGTAGGTTTGTGATGATGGATCCCAGTAACCACCACAAAGGGTAACCACCAAACATTTCCATTGGCTTTTAAAGGGCAGAAAACTGATAAAAGGCATAAAAAGCCTACTGGTAGAGTGCATAAAGTAATTCCCTTCAGTTGCCTGTGATTCCTTTCCTTTCCCTTTTACCTATACAGCTGTGGGTCAAAAATAGGTATACCCAAATTGGAACCCTGGTACATGGAACCACAAACTAAAACCTGTGGTCCCCTGGTTTAATTTTGACCCATACCCATACAGGTCAATGGCAATCTGGGATTGGCGTGAGCGCTCGGTTCCCGGATCCCGGATCCCGGATCCTCCCAGGTCCGCTGGCGGTAGCCTCCCTTCCCTCCGCGGAGGCTAGGAGCACGTGGGAATGGGTCCGAAGGCTTTTGGGAAATCTATGGGTCCGAGTTACCATGGACCACCTATGGGTCCAAAGGGTCCAAAGGCTTCGGATGAGTCTCAAAATGGAAAGGCTTTGTGGACTTGGCCCCACGCCCCACGCAGAAAGGACACCGTTCAGCGTTCAGCGTGGCCAAAAGCGACGCTCCTTGTTTGCCACTCAGCCAAGCCAGGAGCCAGGGACATATGCGAACTGTGTGTGTGCTTGCTTGAAGGTATCCTTTTCAGGTTAGTTTAATTTGAGAAAAAAAGGGAACTCCCCCTCCCCACCCCCCACCCCCCTCCACGCTTTTTGAGGTCCCCTATCTTGACACCTAAAGCGAGAATCGGATGCCAGGCGAGGGTGAGGATTGCCCGGATGCCTTCTGGACTGGCGCCTCAAATCATCACAGCCTGGTGTGGACCTGAGGCACCAAGCACAGCTTGTCTTCGCGATGCCTGGCAAAAACAACAACAAAAAAGAAAGCATGAAAAATGGGGGGGACCTCAACGTCACGCTTGTATGTGGGGGGGGGGGGTTCTTGCATTGTTTCTGCGGCCTTCGGTTTTTCGGTGTTTCCCGGGCCAACCGGAGGGCCTCAGCTCGCTCTTTCGCTGAGGTCGAGACTGGCGTCCTGAGACCTGCTTCAATATGGCTCCGCGCCGGCAATCTGGCTTCATGCTTTATATGTCACCCCATGCCGATCTATCGCGGAGCCATATACGCGGCAGCATGCTTCACACAAACATCCCCAGCAAATCGCCTGAGTGTGTTTCGCACGTCGCACCCAATTGGCGCTCGTAGGCGCAATGCTGCCGCGCAGTATGAAATCGGTTCGCACGGGAGCGAGCGGCAGCTCGCAGCTCGACTCGGTGGTCCTGGCCAAGGATGGAATTTTCGAGAAGGTCTTGGAATCAGGAGACAAGTTTGGAGAAATGAAAGGCTTCGGCCAAAAAAGGTGGCAAATCTCTGATCCCTGTTGCCAGCTCAAATGCTTTCGACATGTGTGTAAGCGCAACTTCTGATTTCCAGCCTTTTTCTCGGATGCAGCTTTTCGGCTCAACACTTGCTGAGCGTCCTCGTTTGATAATTGGGCCACGGGAAGTGATTCCTTTGAAAAGCCGCAGACGTGTGAGGGGCGGGCGGGCTGCCAAGCTTTGGGAATGATTGATTCGGGGCCATTGCTTCGTTTCTATTCGTTGAAGCGATCAACAAATTTGATACATGTGCACTCACGTTGCATTGCGGAAACATCCGCCATACTGTAATGTTGACCCAGGATTAATAAACCCGTTCCATTATTAGGGGGCTGTTCCCTCCAGAAGTGATGAATCCCCACTAATTTGAGACACTCCCCTATTAATCAACCAGGGGTTTATTAATCCGGGGTTAACATTAATTGAACTGCAGTTACAGTGTATTCCACTGGCCAGACAAAAGTTGTGCCTGCTGAAGGTCAGAGCGATTACAACCCCTTCCCCCTAGAATCCTTCAGGAAGAGATCTACGGGTGTGTGCGCGGTCAATTTTGGACCTGGGCAGCTTTTTTTTAAATATAATTATGACTGACCAGAAAACGTCTTTTCAATACAGGCAAGAGGCATAAACGTTTATCTGGCTGAAGTAGTAGCCAGAATCCATTGTGGTCCAGCGTGGGAGATGGATGCCGAGCTTACATAGAATAGAAGGCTTGACTGGCAACCTGGCAACCACTAGAAAATAGTACACTGCTCTCTTTGAGCACATGCTTTTGCGAAAGTCTTCAAACCACTCTCTTTCTGGGAAACACTCTACTGACTCTACACCATTCTATTCCACTCTCTTTCTGCTGCTGTGAAAGCCTCTTCTTTTCTGTGAACAGCATCTTGGTTGCAGATTGCTCACCGTGGTTCGGATGGTGTTGTGAATCTGGAATTTTATTTGTTTGATCAGCAATGTTCACGAAGCACCGATAACTTTGACTGAGCGGTCCTGCGTGAGTCTGCTTGGCCATTTTATGTTGGCAATATCATGTAATTAGGTTTTTTTGGCTTGCGAGGCATGCTCTTCAAAAGGTGCAACTTGCTGGAATGACCATCACGTGAGCTTTGTATCCGGCGTGCTGGCTCATTGCAGAAGCTTTGTTGAATCAACCACATAGGCAGCGGTCGTCAGACGACAGTGAGGTAGACCGCCCCGGCCAGTCTCATTTTATTTCAGCTCCAAGCCCATGTTTGTTGGCACGATGCTTTGCCGAAGACCAGCAGCTTTGGCAGCTCAAAGGTCAAAGGTCATTGTCTTGGCTGCCTATACAGCCATCCTACAGCTTGGAGCGGGGCGGCATGGTGTCGAGATTTCTACCGCGCTGCCAGATTGCTGAGTGCGGGAGCCCAGTTGAAGGAAGGTTGGTGAAGGTGTTTCGGGACCTGCAAATGGTGTTTCGGGCCCTGAAAAGAGGCATACTCAGACTGATTGTCCACCGGTGAGCAAGACAAAGAGTTTGTACCGAGCACGGAAATGGTAGCAAACCAGCTTGCATCACAGTCGCTGACAAGAATCATTGGACATGCTTCTACTGTTGGCTTGGGGAGGACATGGGAAGGCCTGATTTTCGCATGTCCTCTCTTGAGGAAGCACCTAATTTTGTCCGGGGCTTGACATGACAGATTGCGTGTGTTTCTGCCTAGAAGTGATGACATGCAATCCAGGGGTCACCTATCAGCGTCCTGCAACTGCCAGTCCTTGAACCGCTTCTGACATGGCCAGATCCCCGATGTCGGATATTTGCTGTGCCCATTTATTGAGGCCCATTTTGTGTTTCAGGTCTGGGTAGCATGGCGCTTTTGGATTGGAGCGCCCAGCCTCAGCCTCGCAACGACACCCAAAGCTATGTTTCTGGAGCAACTATGGGGCCGGAGAGCAAGTCTGCGGCTTGTCACAGCATGCACACCATCCAGATGCCCCAGCAAACTGGGAAGTCTTCCACTTTACTAGGGTAATTCATGACGCCCCGAATCAATTTCTGACATCATTTTGTGCACGTGGTTGTTGAGCCACAGGCAAGGCGCCTTGCCATGGTCATGTTGCCTGCAAGGATATTGAACATCCGCGGGGGTTGTGTGGATAGGGAAACGCGACCGCCGTGAGCTTTTTCCACGGCGCAGGGCTGCATCCGACGCCCTGCCACAGGCTGCCAGCTGCTCGGCAGCAATCGGGGGCTCTAGTCCATGGCGTCACGGCTGGGCTCGCTTTGCATATTGCCTGCGGTTCTGCGTGTGCATTTGCGTGCGTGCGTGTAGGGTCCGTTCTAAATTGCAAGTCTCAGATTAAGGGGTGGTCCAGAAGTGCTGCATCGCAAAAGTCTGGCGAAAGGAACGCGAAAGGCCGCACAGATGACGAGTTTTGAACAATGTGCGCGCATGCATGCGTGAGTGCTTGCGTTCGTGATATGATGCAGAGCAGCTTCATGTGCTTCTTTGGGGATCATAGGCTCCGACGGGCGTGCAATCAGCCCGGGACAGGTCTCTGAACTATTCTGGCCAAAGACTTGTCGCTTGTCGCAATGAGGTTCACACCTGTGAACCTGCGACATGCTAAACATCAATGGGTTGCCTCCAGCCACGAGTGAACCTGATTATTTTCTCGGCAAGGCTATGGCGATCTGCAGCCGGCGGAAATTAACAACTTCCAGATGCGGGTGATGATGCTGCAGGGAAGGAACCCACAGGTGCGTGAATCAGGGTCTCAATCGTCATGCGGCTACGTCTTTTGTAGGGACCACCAACGTTGTGTGTTTTCCTGTTTAAAAGCGAGTAACCACCCAAGAAAGGGTCACCCATGTTGATAAGCTCAGAAAACTCGAAGGATGGATCTAGCGCAACGATCACTCTGAAGTGCTTTTGCCTCGAAGGCAACGGCCATAGACAATGTGTGGTGGAGCCTATCTTTCTAGAACCACACCAAGCATGAAGTAACACCTACAGTGAGCTGGTCTGAGGCACTGAAGCTCTGTGTGAGAAGCAATGCGCGATTTGGCGTCGTTTACGTCGTCAGCTTCGCAACGCTGGACCGCTTTACCTGTGTGGGGATTCTGGACGGGCCGTGAAGTTACGAGCTAAACCAATGAGCGCGGAGAAAATGATGCTGTCCAGAGTGTGCGGTAGATGTGAGTTCAGCATTGAAGCTGAAGAAAATTGAGGCAACATACACATAAGGGAGTTAATCAAAAGGTCCTTGTAAGACTTGCACCGCGGAGGACCAAAGCACAGTAAGCATTTGTGCCCGTGAAAGATCCGCGACAGAGTCTGCAAAATTTGACCTGTTTTTTTTGCGCGAATGATTTGGCGAAAGCTTTGTGCAGTCCTGTTTGTACGCTCACATATTTGCAGGCCCCGTTCCCTCGTAAACGGGGAGATGCGCAGCACATTTACTTGCGTCCTTCCTTGCCTTCGCGGGTAATGGTGCAAGGCACAACGTTGGCTGGGCTATGCGGATCAAGTTTCACGAAAGATCCACGAAAGACCGGCGAAAGCCAATCAAACTTGTTGCAAGGTTCCGCACATTGGGCCCAGGACGGAGCAGTCACGGCAAACGGAAAGGGCGAATGATGGTGACTGCTTTCATTTCACGCTGCTGCACGCTGCCAGCGCAAGTGGCCGGCATAGTTGCTGGGCTTGCAAGCGCAACAAGAGCAGCAACAATGGCTCCTGACAACAGACTGGTGCGAAAGAGATGTTTGCTCTGCCTTTCCGGAGTTTTGATCAAGCGCTATGTGTATATATAGATACATAGAAATATATATATATATATATATATCATCATAAAATAATTGTCGCGTAGACATAGATATGTCTGCATATATTGATACATACACCTATATAGGTATATTAATAGTGTATACATACCAATATGTGGATACGTGTGCATACACATGCGTAAATGTATGCACACCAACGAGCCCGCAAAGTCATGTTTTTGTCATGTGCAGAACTTCCGCTCAAGCCAATGGTTTGGGAAAACATGGTAAGGCAGATGCTTTTCTTCGCAGGTGCTTGCCAAACCCGCGCGATGGCAGACCTACTTGTGCCTTGACTGTGCCAAGCAGCTGTCATACCGGCGCGCTGTGTTTTGTTTGTGCAAGAAGGGTGTGCCAGGCGCTCATTAAGTTCGCAGCCCCTACATTGATTTGACCACCAGACATGGTCGGTGCAGCGCTGTCAGTTCTTGAAACGGACATGATGGGTTCCTGACATATTTACCATGAACGTTTACCAACTCACGTTAAACATGTGTTACATGGGTATCAATCTGTTCAATGTAATGTTTAAAGTAGTGTTCGATGTCTCAGCAAGGTTTCCAGACCAGTGTTCGCTGCGCTTCCACTGTCGCTTCAAGTTGCTTTAGCCATCGACCACGGCTCACATTTGGCCCCCGATAGACAGGTTTGTGCTTTGAAGCCTTGCGTTTGACGGACAAACCTTTGCACGGTCTCACGAGTTGGGCACCCTCTTGCTGCCTATTTAACATTGGAAGCTTGAGGCCCGTGATTTGCAGTTGCGTTGGGCACTTGACATCCTGCACCGTGCCATCAACTTTGAAGGGGGGAGCGGGGTGTACCCTACAGTAAATGCCACAGCTCTATCCAGGTGACCGACAGTTGCGTTTCACAGAAAGTCGCGCCGATGCTATTATGATGTTTCGCCCAAATCCTTCCAGTCAGCGCCGCATGCTTTTTACGCACATGGCCGTGATTTTTTGGAGGGGTCTGTAACAGAGCCGCGGCGGACATTCGTTACAGACCTCTGTAACAAGACCCGCTGGCTCCTTACACATCCCTCGTTGCACACCCTCGTTACACATCTCAGATGCGCAAACTGCTTGGCTGGTTGCATGCCCCTCGCTACATACCTCGTTACAGACCCAACCCCAGCCCGGGCCAGCAACCTCCCTTTTTGCTGCAGTGTGGCTTGCGTTGAGTAGCTGCAATCAAGCTGGAGCTGCGGAGGTGCGCTTTGCGTACTGCGCTTTGCTTTGCCTCGTTGCAGACCTCGGTACATAGCCGTTACATACCTCGTTACAGACCCAACCCCATCCCGGGCCAGCAACCCCCCTTTTTTCTGCAGCGTGGCTTGCGTGGAATAGCTGCAATCAAGCTGGAGCTGCGGAGGCGCGCTTTGCAGACTGCGCTTAGCTTTGCGCTTGGCTTTGTGTCGGCAGTTGCAAATTTAAAGCTGGGGCTGCGGAGTTGTGCTTTGCGTATTGCGCTTGCGAGCGGGAGCTGCTGCTCTTCGTTGTTCTGCGCTACATTGTGCTAGTGATACTGATACTTGTCAAGACATGTTTTCCCGTCAGACTTGCGTAACAAGACCTCCGTAGCAAGATTCGTAACGCGTCGCGCGTTACAGACCCTCAAAACAGTTCGTAGCCAAATGAATTCTGTTTGCATCAAGCGGAAGGGCAGACCACGCAAGACGGCTTCTGCCGTTCAATGGCTTGTTTGTTGCCTGTCACCCATCACGGTGCTGACCTCCCAGCGACACAAATGCCTTGCAGTGAGACCAAGTTGCAGACCTGTTACCTCTGAAGGAGCAACCGCCAGCACCCCCCCTTTTCTTAAGGATGCGGCCGCAACATCGAGAAAGGAGCGTTTGCATAGTCCCCCAAAAGGCGATTCTCTTAAAATGAGGGGACCACGTTGACCAACTCAGGTGGACGCATGGAAGGCATTGGGCGGTAGTCCTGCGGCCCGTGCCCGACCTCGAAGGACCCGGGGAGCCAGACGATAGACGGCTTCCAGGAATCTGCTGCAATGGTTCTTAGAATGTGTTTCTTTAATGTTGGTTGGACAGAAATGTGGAAGTCTGGTGCTGAGCGACCTGTTGTTCGAATCTTTGCGACGGATGTCTTGAATCTGTGCGTGGATGTGCCCGAACCATGCTCGTGTATTTTATCATTGCCCTTCCTCCCACTAACATGGAACCCACAAGAGGGTCCCGTTTAAAGGAACATCGTCTTCCAGGACCCAATGTCAGGTTTCCATATTAGTGAACGGGAGGGCATTTAGTTTCTCTTTGTGTTGTTCAAAGTTCGCCCTTTGCATTCCAATCCACCGTTGCCTCGCTGCAGGAATCATTTGGACGTGTTTAGCATACACAGTGCTTGGAAGCCCATCCAGCGGTTCTCAGAATCCTCCAAAGATTGGCAGCTGTGCGAGATGCAAACTGATTTCAGTCCCCGATCGAAGCACCAAGAATATGTTTGTTCCTTACTAATCATCTCCCTTGTCACAACTTGCCATCCTACCCTCCCTATGATTCATACTCCTCAAAAACAACAAACATATTTACCAACAGAGTCCTTCAAAACTGAGATTTCCATAGCCAAGTTAGAAATAGCTGTTCAAGCCAAGCGTTTCATTTTGCAGCCCGCATTGAAAACTACCGCGTAATGCGCACGTCCCGCTGAATCAAAACGTGCCACGCGAAAAATACCAGACCGGCAGCCAAGGTGCAGTGCATGGCACTCTCGGTTTGCCTGTGCGTTTCATTCTGGATAGTTGGAACGCCAAGCATGACCATTTATAATTTGGATCTCAAGGAAGGGCTGCAATTTGCGCCATGGAGCACAAATTCGAGTGCGGCTTCGGCTGGTTCCTTGGTTGCTCGCTATGTAGGCCATGCAACTAGCGCTCCAGTACGAATCTTGTTTCGGGTCCAACCAGATCATTGCCCCGATTGTGCCCTTCTAAGGGGTACTCGTAAATAATATGTTTCTTGGACGGCTGACACCTTGACAACACTCGTGAATGAGTTCTTGTTTAAGCCTTATGGAGGTTGGCCCTCATTGACTCAACTTGTGCACAGGCCAGGCAGAAGCAAAGCATCAAGCAAATGCAATCGTAAATTCCTGTGGCTGGGATGAGCCATACATTTTACATGTATATGTGTATAATATCTTCACGCACACACACACACAGAGACTTATCATGTCCCTGTGACGAAGATGCCTACCTTCCTGACTGGCATGGGTGTTGGTGATGGGGAATTGTTGACCTCACTCACTTCATGGTCAAAATCCATCAAGAGCTAAAAGATGCTCCTCTATTTTTTTGGGCCATTGATAGACCCCCTGGCCCGGTCAGCCTCCCGAGGAGATGAGACGATCCTCGATGTCTGCCCTGAGCTTCTGAGAAAGCCTAGCCTATCGGAGGAGCCTTGTGACTGAGGATGGCTGTGTACTGTGCTATGCTGTGGTAGGTGGTTGTTGAAATCAGCATGGAACAATCTTAGCTCATATCACTTGATTGACCCCTACATTTTTTGTGAATCAACAGACGTCCAGACAAGAAGCTGCCATGTGCTTCATGAGTTTTTTGGGAATTGCAAGACGACGCGCGCGTGAGCGATGTCATGAGCACAGGGGCGGGTTGGGTTCTTAGGTTTTCCGTGCTGAAGGTAGCCACGCAATTTGTTGAAGATACATGCATGACCTTGAAAGTATGCTCCCTCGCTAGTCCAGGTTATTATTGTCACCAAATCGCAGGTATGATAGCGACTGTCTCTATGAAAACATGTATTTGTGAGAGGTTGCGAGAGAATGTGTCGTAAAGCTACGGTTCAGGGCGGGAAACACGAAGCGGATACGGAATAAAGATATCAATGTGTATACACAATATTGTGTAACACACATATATATATATGTATGTATATGTATATGTATATGTGTGTGATATACATATAGTATACATATACATACAACTAGTACATACTAATACATGCGATAGAAAACTGGTCCCACCTTGGTCTGACACGTTGCCAACTTTGCCTCGGCCATCAGCCAGGAGCTGTATGAGAAAGTGCCTGCGCAGGGCTCAGTGAGAGGTGGGATGCCTGGCGCTTATTCTTGCTAAGAACACGGGTGTTTCAGGTTCCAGGTCAGCTTATGAGAGAAGGGCCCAACAGGGGGGTCCGGTTCCCAAAAGGAGGATCCTCTAAAACTAGAGACCGTTTTGTTTTTTTGGTTTTGACTGGACAATTATGCCACTAAATCGGGCAACATATGATGCGCTGCCTTATTCGTGCGCCGGATCCATAGTGGCTGAAACGTAACTGAATGCTCAAACAGATCGTGCAAGGAACCTTCAAGCAGTTGAAGTATACGGACCATCTTAAAATTATTGATTGTTTTGTTTGTGTGTGTGTGTGCTTCGAGCGACTTCCTCCGTCAATGACACTTTCTCACCTCCTGACATCCGCAGAATTATTGTTTCTGTTCACATATTCGCTTGCCTACTCAAGCACCTACGCAACATTCCAAATTCCTGCTTTTAGACATCACCTTATCCGTTCGATTGATTCTGAAATTGAAATGACGGACCCACTTCCGGCCAGCGTGACCATTGCAGAGGCCTTAAGACGCAGTGCGTGTTCGGCCTAGTTGCAAGATTCCAGGTGTTTCTTCTCCAGAAGGTTTTGACCAAGCAATGGCAAAGCCTGTTGCTCAAATGTGCTTAGTGTCGCTCAAGGGTCCATGCTGACGTGTGGCGGCTTTGTTATCAGCTGTTTGGGAATACCCCAGCTGCGCCCCCTAAACGCCTTACACAACTCATCTCCAACCTATCCAGCTGAGTGCTAGCGCAGCAGATGTTCCATATCTCTACTTGCATCTCCAGCCTCATATCAGAGGTGCATTTTGCTTGGATGTTAGGACTTTAACTTTTTGCCAACGAATTGGCTTTCCATTAAACCACTAAAAGTTAAACTTTTAGCAGAACCTTTGTTAGTCTTCTTAATGTGAAACATATGTTTTTGAATCTTTATGCTATCTTAATCTCATCTCAATGTTTCCAATCTGCCGATAAAACGTGCAAACTTCTACCCTGGAAGTATGGGACTCAGGCTAAGCAGGCCTTCGTGGTCATCGAGCTGCTGGTCGCCACGAGCGAGCAGGCGACGGAAGCCGCCAGGGCTCAAATGGCCACCTTGGTCATGTGTGGAGCACCAGGAAGGCCATGGCTGTGGGTCAAAACCCAAAGAAACCCCTGGTGAACTTCAAAGGTGGCAAATGGATGTTCATCCACCCCAAAATGGAGCCATAGGTTGTGCCCCATGGCCAACATGTTTTCGGAGGATTTTGAGTTGACACCCTGAACTGCTGTCATTGTTTCTCAGGTTGGAAGTTGTTCGGCGCCATGGTCTGGTATATGTCCAGCAGGACGCTATCTTTCTTGAATCAGGGCCCATTCTGCAGGTGTCGGGCGCTTGTCGATCCATTCACTTTGCCGGCAGGTGTTCTTTCCGCGCTTCACCGTATTTCCTGGCTTCTCGGTATGATGGACTGACGCAGCTACGACACATTTACTGGGGAACCCCCACAGCTTGCGCTTGAGATGTCCACAGACCTCAGGAGGTCTCGGGAATTCAGTCGTGGCTGTGTCAGACCTGCCAGCAATTTGGCCTTCCTGGAGAGTTGAGTCCCAGTGAGACAGGCCCTGCCACCGATAAATTCCGGGTGCGGAAACATGTTGCCGAGAAATGTTTGCTGGGACACATGCAATTGATCAGCTTGACTGCAGGTTAATTCCTTGTCCATTTGAGTCCGGATCGTAGCACGATGATTGTGCTGCTGATGCATATTGATGCTTTTTGCCAAGGTTTCAACATCAACCATTCCACAGTCACTCGCTGCGAGTGCACTGCCCCGTGCCTGCTCTCGGACATTGCTGGCAGGGCCCTGCGCTCAGCGTCTTGCAGCCTTTCATAGTTGAGCACTAGGCGACTCTGAAGTTTTCAGCAAGCTTTGGAGCACAGCACAGGTGTCCTTTTTGGTTGTTTTGGTAGAAATGGATGGCCCTGGTTGACCTGGTGGTCTCAGAATCCACCAGGGCCATCTATTTTCACACAAGGACATGCTTTGGAGGCTTTGTGGCAGACTGTGAATGTATTGTTGAATCCGGCTTTGTTCAACGCGCCGGCTCTCGTTTGTGTTGTATTTCTGCCCGTTCAACGTGGAGTCGCGGTTCCGTGGATGTTTGATTTTCGAACAGCATGGTGCAGCGTTTACGAGAGCCAAAGAGCGGGTGACACAATGACTTTGGGAAACTCACTTGCCCAAAGCGAATCGACCTTTTCACCTTTTGGTTTTCCCATTTTGGTCCATTAGTAAAGGTCCCAAAAGGTTAACCTTTTATTCCCAGGTCCTTTGGGCCAGTGAGGAAACCTTCAACAAGATTCTGTGGCCGGCTAGGCCACTGCAAGTTCAATCCGACTAAACCCATCAGTTCGATGCCTTGGGCTCCCCATACGTCCCGTCACCAGACCACAGTGACCGGCCTGGATTCGATTGCCAGGCCCTAGATGTGATCGGCGGATTCAAGAGCTACGGCGTGCTGGGATGCAACTGCAACTTGGCAAAGCCATGGGCATGGGCCTTGGAATCCACTGGTCGTTTTCCCAGCTGTTCCCATCTCGGGGCATCAAACGTGAGCCTTTCCTTGTGGATTGATGGGGGAGGGTCCTTTCTTGGGTCCCAACCTATTTTGGGTTTGGAGTCACTGTGATGCCAAATTTGGTTGCTTGTTGAGCAGGAAGTTGAGGGCAAAGCATTGCGACGTCCAGTACGGTTGCCCATGAGCCAGTTCCTTTCGAGGGAACATTCAGGCGCGGGCGGGATCCCTGATGGCAGGTTGACTATCCGTCAGACACAGTCTCTCACCCGGACATGATGTCCCTTAGTCAGAAGCAGGCGGTGGGGAAGGAAATAGTATATACATGTGGTATATACCCCATATAGGAAAACAGTTGACGGGGTTACATAACCCTCAAAATTAAATGGATAAATTAGACTTGTGATCACTCAGAAGGCAAAACAAATACAGTCCGAAGGCCTCCCCCTTGAGGCAAACAGCTTTGACCCAGGTTCTGAGTACCGCTGCCCCAAGAAGTCCCCAGTGATTGCAGTGATTCGGCAGCTGAGTCTCAGAGTGTGCCGGAGTGTCACTGGGCTGACTTGAAAGAGGGTCCCAAAGTAGCCCTCTTTATCTTCCCTCGCTATTCCTGCTTTCGTGTTAGTCTATTTCTGGTGCCACATCTCAACATCCTCTCTCCGCAATCCTGCTTCAGCAACGTGAGGGGGTCAGCAAGCAGGCTTTTTGGCTGGGCACGGCCAGTATAGGAGCCCAACTTAGCTTGCTTGAGCAAGCAATAGAATCGCCTCGTTCTACCCCAGCATTTCCTTGAGGGCGGCACATCCCTTGGAGTGTTTCTTTGCATCCTCTAGGCCATGCTAGCTCCACCTTGCATTCAACTGTTGCTTCTACAGACGTCTATGGATCGCGGTATGTTACAAGGAGCAAAGCTTCTCAGCTGCTGTGGGCGCCA